GATATATAAAAGGATGAGAATTCAGTTAAACGTGAATTTCATGAGTAACATGAATTATCCGTAGGAAAACCCTAAGTTAATTGCATAATGCTTATTGACGTATTATCAAAACGCTCTGGCCCTTGGTTTTATGTAAAACGGTCATGAATAAAACCAATATCGATACCGAAGATCATCTTAATGTTCCCGCGTGATTCCTGTTAGGATGAGAAGGATACAGGATTTTCACCCCACCAGAAGAGGTAGATAGATTTCGTTGATTCCTAATCGAAGTGATGCCATTTTCTTACACCGGTAACTGCGGGACACATCCCTCAAGTGTAGTGCCTTATTCTCGCGTGGTCACCGTTTGTCCACATGCACAATACTACTACTACTCAATATTCTTGCAACCGCACTCTATGTATTCCTTCTTCTCTTTTACCATGCTCACAACATTCCAACCTTTATTCTGCTATTTTATCCAAACGGTCGGCCAAAGGACAGCAACCAAGACCGGATGATAGATGACATGACCTTATCATCCCCTTGATAAAGTCGAATGGTATCTTTCTGATATTCAAATGCGCAAGTTTTTCGTCAATGAACTGAAAAAATGAGAAAGGGACTATTTCTCGAGTAATGCATGAATTCTAGTTAGCTGATTACGCACTTCAAAAAGAAATTCAGAGTTAAACAAATGTGTTCATTAATTTATCGCCTGGCCCATGCAGATAACAAAAAGAGGCTAAACATTCGGTTGCTCGAAGATACTAGTGAGTGGCTGGGAGATGAACGATAGGATGAGTGGCGTGACGTGTTTTACACCACGACACAACAATCAGGTTGTGATGCACCATAGCAACTGAACTGCATGGGCCAAACTATTTTGTGCACATAGGTTGGGTGTCAATCGCTTCCGTAGCGGTTAGGGTGTAAAGATGCAACGATTTGGATGGGTAGGGCAACTTCGAGGGCTGATTCAAGCAGTATTTGGTGACAGTCTATTAGATGGGCCGAAATAGAGCTAGCTTTCTGTGCTACCTTTCCCGCCGCGTCTAAACAAGTGTGGGCACAGCTCTTTAATCCGTTAGGGTAGGGCATTTCTGTCCATTTCCATATCTGATCGAAGAACGAACCATGCAAGGGATTCTGTGGGTAAATTCCAGGAACTGCGACATTAAGTAGTATGAAAAATCGATTGAGACTTTTGTGAAAAAATAAATCGGATCGATGAAAGGTTCTTTAATTTCGTTGCTTGTTCCTATGTTTATAATAATGTACTGTTTATTTATAGCAGCATTTAGATCTACCAACCTACGCATCCTTTATGAATCGAAGAAATTAAAATCTTTTCTAACGCCCTCAGCTAAATATCGATACATTGCATGCGGTATTCAGCCCTTTTTCAGCTAATAGTGTTTACTTATCTCGAAACTATCTACATTTCTTCAGGGGAATTTTTTCTGACCCAATTATTCCATATTAATTCCAGATAATCCTCCATTCCGTTGCAATGTTAGGCTAATCACAGAATTGATTATATGGCGTCCACGATAAAATACCACTGTTTTAGTTATAATAATCACATCAGTATTAACCAATTCAAGGAAAACAAAGGTGAACCAGTTCGAACAGTGACAAAAAATCGCATTCGAAGGAAATAACATCGAAGATGAGTGAAATATCTGTCACAGGGTATACTCAGGACATTGACTTCTTCCCCAGATTCAAACTGACTATTCGATGTGCAATCTACTCATGATTTTCTAGTGAAAAATGCGTACCAATAGCGTCTATGAACATCTATTCGATCGTTCGCTTTTGCTGTTACCAGTGTGTTCAAACCGATTGATGCATTCGTCATGACCGTTGTTGGTCAGACACGTGATTCATAAACTATAGATGTGCATCACATAAACTGCCCTTAAACCCGGGTTACGATGACCTTTGGCAAGTGACCTGTATAATTTCCTCGGTGCACTAGGACAAGTGAAAGTATCGTTCACACAGGCGCGCCCGCGCGACGGCGGCTATCGATCGCTCGGATCTGACATCTCACTCCACACTCCCGCTTGTCAGTCAATCGCGATTATCGTTCACCCGTTTGTACGTTAGTGCGAAAGAGCCCATCGATAGACCGAACGGCCGCGGCTTTGGTAACCACTAGCAAAAATGACCACATTCGAGGGTCCCACAGAACTGCAAAAAAACTGCAGATTACAGACGTACTTTTAACAAAATTATAAGTCTTCGTTTGCCTCAGCTTGGCTCTCCTACGCAAATTCACAAACGTGCTGTTTAAATCAATTGTACACTCCAATAATCGACCCAAAATCCGAGCATTAGCAAAGGCAGACGGCTTCACTTCTGTGTTTCTCTAGCTGGCATAACTTCCAGCGCACTCACTGCTTCACATTCATCTTCTTTGCGATGCTTAGCTTGAATTAAAACGAATTCATCTAATGACTAAAACCAGAGACTTCATGTAGAAATTTGAAATAATCCACACCATCATTAAACTCCAAACAGGCGATTTCTTTTTCAAAAACACGCTCATCAATTGACACAATGAGTAAAGTCCTCGATAAAATCGTTGCTTTCCAGGTGGCATCTTTCCTCAGATGCTCCAGCTTTCAAAAATTCTCCGATGGTCGTTCGATGGGATATAACACTGTAGACAGTTTTTAGTGAAATTCCAAGTAATTTGGCTACGGAGCTCTGGATTGTGCCCGGATGATTCAGCATTTCCAACACATTCTACTTCTCTCTGATCGAGGGGAGCATGCATATTTTGACGTCAAATGACAATGTCTCCGATCACTTACATCTGACCTCCTCGCAAAGATTATCCAATCAGTGAACAGTGCCATGAACGCGTCACACTAGATGAAACGCTATTGTTTGAGTGCGACATTTCAGGATGGATGGCTAATGGTCGTCCCGAACATCGGTCAACGACCAAGTGAGTAGGTATCAGAAACTGCGACATATTGAGGGGTGCGACATTGTTACATTACATTATTACACTACATAATTACGCGTACGGTTGGTTTGGGTTTTCGAAGAAGTGGGAAGATTTGGAAAATGCGACTTCTCAAAGGTGCGACATAGCAGGAGATCGACTATATATATAT